AAAAAAAAAAAAAAAAAAAAAAAATCACACTTGACAGAAATTCCTGCTGCATTATATAGATAACCAGGCATCTGAAAGGAAGGGTGCTAACCATACAGAACTGCTAGAAAAAGGGTCAACCTTTGTTAATGAGATTATTCTTCTCACTGAAAATTACAAGACAGAGGAAAAAAAGATACTATTTGTAGAAAATGCATTTTTGAAAGAAAGAAACATAATTTTTTAAATAATTGCATTAAAAAACACAAGTCAGATAAATAAGAAATGAATAAAAGTGGTTACCACAAGGGGTAGAGGCAGGATGGGGAAGTAGAGAGGACAGAAATGGGAGCAATTTTTTTTCAGAGTCCGGGTCTTCAATCTGTCCACCCAGGCTGGAGCGCAGTAGCACTGTCATGGCTCACTGCAGCCTTGACCGCCTGGGCTCAAGCAATCTTCCCTCTTCAGCCTCGTGAGTAGTGAGACTACCGATACATGCCACCACACCCAGCTAATTTTGTTATTTTTTTTAGAGATGAGGTCTCACTATGTAACCCAGGCTCGTCTTGAACTCCCAGGCTCAATCCTGGGCTGCTTAGTGAGACTTCGTCTCTACAAGAAATACAAAAATTCGCCAGGCTTTTTGGTGTGTGCCTGTAGTTCCAGCTACTAAGGAGGCTGAGGTGGGAGGATCACTTGAGCCCAGCAGGCTGAGACTGTGGTGAGCCAGGATCACGTGACTGCACTCCAACCTGGGCAACAGAGTAAGACCCTGTCTCAAAAAAATGAAAACATAAAGTAGTAACCCATACTAGCTGCTGTTTGGGAAAGCAACTTAGAGCAGTAATGCATAGCTGGTTCAGCACTGCTGAACAAAAGCCCTAGATTTAATGTCTGGTTCTACAGCTTTCTAGAGTTTCAAGATCTTGGACAAGTAATTCAACACTTCTAAGCTTCAGTTTTCCTCACGTGGTAAAATGGGAATAAAACATCACCTATATCTAAAAGTACTAATGAGAATTAAAAGATAGGCAAGGAGCAGTGGCTCATATCTATAATCCTAGCACTTTGGGAGGCCAAGATGGGAGGATTGTTTGGGCACAGGAGTTCAGGACCAGCCTGGGCAACATAGCAAGATCTCTTCTCTATAAAAAAATAAAAATAGCCGGGCTCGGTGGCTCAGCCTGTAATCCCACGCCTTTGGGAGGCTGAGGTGAGTGGATTGCCTAAGCCCACGGGTTCGAGACCCGCCTGGGCAGGCGAGACCTCATTTCTACAATAAATCAAAAAATTAGCCGGGCATGGTAGCGCTCGCCTGTAATTACAGCTACTCGGAAGGCTGAGGCGGAAGGATTGCTGGAGTCCAGCAGGTCGAGGCTGCGGTGGCCAGGAGCGGCTACTGCACTCCAGTCTGGGCGACAGAGTGACTACAGCTCCAAAAATAAAATAAAATAAAATAAAAATAGAGAATTAAAAGATAATAGGTGTGAAATGTGGTAATAACCCAATAAATGTTAGCTTTTACCACTGTGTCACACAAATTATGACCTCATCTAAACCATGATTGGAATTAACAACTAAAAAAATCATTTTATAATCATGCTCTAAGGTTACTAGTCTGGTTCTGGTATATACCACTAAAAGTAGTTCTGTTTGGTAAACGAGAATTAGAAATGAAAATCAGAATGAGAAAACAGATCTTAATTAATGAAAAAGTATGCTGTATATGTTGTCATTATATAAAATATTTGAGATCTATAAATGTGAGTAATATTTGAGATAAATGAAAATATATTTCAACACAAATGTTATATATTAAATTATAATAAAATAATATTACAGAATGTCAGAAATTAGTGTGGATTTACTCACTGCCCTAACACAATAATGACTGTGTTAAAACATGCACAGTCTTAAAATAAGTACACTTTCAGGGCCGGACTTGGTGGCTCAGCCTGTAATCCCAACACTTTGAGAGGCTGAGATGAGTGGATTGCCTGAGCCTGCGGGTTCGAGACCAGCCCAGGCAACTTGGTGAGACCTCATCTCTACAATAAATCAAAAAATTTGTCGGGCATGGTAGCGTGCGCCTGTAGTTCCGGCTACTTGGAAGGCTGAGGCGGAAGGATCG